TCTGAAAATACCAAAATCTGATAAAATACGTAATATTGCAAACTAAAATATATCTAATTAATTAGCTCCTAAACTAATGAAATTTACGTAAATTCCCTAAAAAAAAATTGTGATATATCACTCAGCTTAACATACGTGTTCTTAAGAATTGCTTTTATTTATTTTATAGTCAATCGACCGAACTTTGAATTTGGCATTTAAAGTGTAGTTGATGTCATTATTGCAATCAAATGAAAATCATGTGGCACTATTCAATTTCATTTTCTGAATTTAATATTACAGTGAAATCTTAAATACATTCACATTTTTAATATACCAATCATTCTTTATATAACAATATTTTATTATAATAATTATATATTTTTTTGGAGTCAATCTATTTTGTTATGTTATAGTTTAGAGTGGTATTTTATTATAATAATACTAAAATATTAAAATATAATTGAAATTTGAACTCAACTACTGAGGAATTGACACAGACATACAATTATTATATATAATTGACAATATATAGCCCAAATTAATTAGCAATTAATAGCCTAAAACAAAATTAGCACGTATTAGCCTAAAAGAATAAACCAACTTTTTATAATTTTTTTCTTTTAATCATGTGCAACCAACCTGCATTAATTAAGGAGATGTGAGATTGTTTTTTCTTCCTTGTTTTTAAATCCTATAATTAAGGAAGTTAGCTTTTCAGTTTCTTTAAAATTCTCAAACTCAACTTTATTTAACTGTCTAATTTAAAAAAATATATTAACGCAATTTACAGAAAACATAAAGATATATTTGATTGTAATTTTATGATATTATTTTTTTACCAATCAACAATACTTAGTTTATTAGAAAACTGATTGCCTACTTTTAAGAAGTGAAATATATATATTTATTAATTAACCCATTAAAAAAAGGTTGCACCAACTTTTAAGGAATGAGTTTTTTAAAATTCTTTAAATAACTTATTAAAAGATTGTGACTACTTAAGAAAATGTATTATTAATGCTCTACGTGTATTAATTATCACATAATCGACAATAATTAATCATATAATATTAAATGACATTTTATTAGAAACTGTAATAATACATATGCATAAATTATACAATAATTAAAGTTGCGATTACATAATGTATACATAAAAAAAAATATGTATTCACAAAAAAATATTCATAAAAATAGACGTGTAAATTTTATTATTGTATACAGTAATTGTAGCATGTATACATAAACTTTATATTGTATACATAAGAATATTACCATCAATTATACGTATTACTATAATGAATACAAGAATGAGATTAATATGATACATATATAAATTTTATTCATTAATTGTATATGTGATTTTGTTTATGTATACGGTAACTGCACTATGTATACATTAGTTTGTATTCATCGTGTATTCAGTGATTTGTATTCACATAATAAACTTGTATACTTTAATTTAAATTAAGATTGGAATTCATTGGTATACATTGGGTTGTATTCATCAAAATCAACATTCTGATTTTTTACGAAGATCTAACGAGAATCTTTCTTACCCATGAAATTGAGAACAAAAATTTCAAAAAACTACTACCTGAATTTTCGCCAAAAAAAGTTATAAAAACTTTAGTTCCACAAATCACGAAATTTCAAAATTAATGGGGCAAGAAATGCTACATAATTATATATTAAAAGAAATTATTGAAAGGTTCAATAGATAAACATACAGCTATATCGGATTAGCATAGACAGAGTAAATTAAGGAGAATAAGAGAAAATTTAGAAGAGAAGTAAATATACATATGACAGGGATTTTAGAAAGAAAACAAAAGAAGGTTGAATAACCTAAATTTTCGCAGAAACTTCAATTCTACAAATCATGAAATTCACAATTAATTGGACAAGAATAAAATTATATATAAAGATGATTTTTAGAAGTATCCATGAAAAACATATTGTTATATCTGATTTTCATAAACAAATTGAATTAAGGAGAAGAATTGAAAATTAGGAAGAGAATCAAATATACGTATGAAAAGAATTCTGGAAAGAGAAAAAGGAGACAAAAAAGAGAAGAACTCTATTTTAAAATTGTTGACAAAATAATTAAAAAAAGAGTTAAAATAGGGATAATAAAACAGTAAAAACAAATTCAAGAAAAAAAAAAGCAGCAATCAAACGTGTGTTTGAGAAAAATAAGGAGGACAAAAATACATTTTAAAAAAAGAAAAGAAAAATAACAATTCAATGCCAAATAAATAAAACAAAGTTTTTTTCTTGCTAAAAAATTAAAAGTGAGCTATTTATTGCTAATTTAGTCTATAAGGTGTCATGCTGTGCCATTTTGTCATCTCGAATGGTACACATGATAGCCCAATTTTTCAGCCCACCATACGTTTCTCTTCCTGACGTAGCAGCAAGCCAGCGACGTTTGAGAAGATTTTTAATTTTTATCCTTAAATTTTGTGGTTTTCGAATCCTGCTCTTCAACCTCACAAATTAAAAAAATAAGCGGTCGAAAATATCTTGACAACGAAATAACAAATACTTTCATTAAGTAGAAGTTTATATTTTTGTACGGTAATATAACACAAATTATGCTACTTAATTTCTACAAAATTTAGGTCAATCGAGACAAAAGTTTAAGTCAAAATCCACAAGTTATGTCGCAATGCCGAGCAAGATAAAAGCTTACTAAAATTATGTTGAGTGAATTAGATACTACAAAACTTATGCCTGGTAACTTAATTCTTGCTTCTCTAAACTCATGCCAAATGAAATTAGGTCATAAATATGAATATTTTGCGCACAATTTTTTTAATTATGAGCAACATCAGCAAAAATTGAAATTCATTGGCAAAAAAATAATCAACCATCCCAAAAAGGGAAATCCACGCAAAAACTTCAAAAATAAAATCACTAGACTAGCTGTATAATAGATTGTAATCATCGTCGGTATATACTCAATATATAATTAATAGATATTGACCTAAATTTATAAAATTAAAGTTTAATATACTTTTTGTTGTGGGTATTGTTAAGAATTCCTGTAGATAGAATATAATCACTAAAAAGAGTAAGAAAATAAACGATATTATAAGATTTAGAGTAATATTAACTAGAAAATATAATCATCAAAGTATATAAAGAGGAGAGTATGGATATTTCACCATTCACGAGTATACTCACATTTATACTTATAAAATTTAGGGAAAAAGGTTCGAAATATATCCGAACTTTGATTGAAATTGCGGTAACAATTTCAAACTTTGGGGAGGACCTATTACCCTTCTGTACTATTTAATAGTGTATTTTAAAGGTATATATGTGCCCACGTGGATAAGTTACTATTTATAATGATGCAATATTTATGATGTCCACGTGGGCACATATATACCTTTAAAATACACTATTAAATAGTACAGAAGGGTAATAGGTCCTCCCCAAAGTTTGAAATTGTTACCGCAATTTCAATCAAAGTTCGGATATATTTCGAACCTTTTTCCCTAAATTTTATAAGTATAAATGTGAGTATACTCGTGAATGGTGAAATATCCATACTCTCCTCTTTATATACTTTGATGATTATATTTTCTAGTTAATATTACTCTAAATCTTATAATATCGTTGCCCAAAGTTTGGAATTGTTACAGCAATTTCGGTCAAGGTTCAAATATATTTAAGACCTTTTCCCCTAAAATTTACAATAATTTATATCGACAATTATAAATAGTTGTCATAATATGACATTAATCATTTAAGTTATGCCTAAGTGGTGACATGACATTCTAAATGAATTTTTTGGGCTTACATTTGTGAAGTTTAGTACTTTTGCATATCAATGTATCTCAAACATGTATATACGTGTATATCAGTAAAATTACATGTAGATTTATAGTGATATACATATAATGTACAGGTGGTATATGTTATTGTATTGTCATAAAATACGCTGGAAAGGAATCTCCTCATTACCTTCCTTTCCTCATATTTGTGTATATCATTAGTGTATATTATATATATTCATAAAATGTGTGTGACATACAATAAAATATATGATATACATCATCTTATTTGGAAAAATATGCCAAAACTGGTGTTCTCCAATGGCCTTTGTTGAGCTCTTACACATTTATTATTTCTTTGATTTTCAATATATTAAATAGTCCACAAGCTTCATTACATAGCTTGTAACTGATCTTCTGAAATTTGTACGTGCTGCTCAATCAACATCGTTGTGAGTTTAGTTGACGGTACGCAAACCATAGATTTTGCAGAATGCAGAAGATTAGACCGTTTGTGGCAAAACACAAGCATCAACGATCCTCAACTTTTTCTTAATGTGCATCTTCTTGCCTCCAACAGTCTGTGTGGACTATATTAGGAGTATTATTTAAAAATAATTAAGCTTTAAATAGAAGGGTATAAATGACCATCCCATACCATTTCTAAATTAAAAAACAATAGCTGGTTTTGGTCCTTATACAAAAGACAATAGGTGATAGAATATTTTCAAAAGATGCGAGTGCAACAAGAAAATTAAAAATATGATTAATCTTTTGGTCTCATATATATAGTTTAAATAAAATAGCCTCATAAATAAATATATTTCCATAACTAAAGTAGAGCTCATGCCTCTTTAGGATAATAAGACATGCTGTTGGGGTTCTACTATTTTAACAAAGGTATTTTTTCGATTGAAGCACCATATATATTATTAAAAATAATAAAAAATATTAAGATATTCTTAATGATATTCGGTCTTCTACCCAGCAGAGTCTTCCATAGCTGATCGACTGGTGAAAGGATAGCTGAACCCGTTGAAAGCCGGCAGTTATTGATGGCTCTATATAAGAGTTGTTATAATAGTTGAACTTTGATATTGTGTTTTCGTATAGAGTGAATTCTTTCTACAACTAATTTAAAACTGAATATTGTAGTAAATCAAATACTTGATTAATTATTTCTACAACTAAAAAAAAACTTGATATTAGTACATATTTTTTCCTGTTCCTCAACTTTCATGTGACATTAGTAGGGGACAAATTGACAAATAATACATTTGTGGCATGGGATGAAATTAAAGTTTTTCTTAGATTCCTAGCATTTTTAGCCCTTGTCTTGTTTACATAATAGCACCATGACAAAAAAACTATAAAATAAAAAAGCAAATCTTATATTGTCACTTCTCATCTAATGGACCACTTTGAGAATGAAACTTCATCTCAATTTTGGCCCTTTCTAGCTAGCTACTTTAATTTAAACCTACCATTATTATATATTTAAAAGACCACTTGCAAGTAAAAATATAAAACTTAGCCACTTTTTTTATTATTATTATTATAAGCTACTCATGTCCATATGGGGTGGTGGGGACTATGACCCAAGATGTTGCGTAGACTGAGTTATGACCTTTCCATGTTAATACAAGCATGTCATGTTCCTCTTTTTTCATGCCCCATCCACTTGCATGCTCATCCAACAATGACTTCACTTCCTTAATTGTTTCTTCACTAAAAGGTACACTCATGTAACCACTATTTTCCATCCTTTGTGAGAACTTGTTGCAACTCTCTAATCTCTCTATCCTTTGGTTCCCTTCAAATCCAATAATGTTTTCAATTTTGTGGCCAATATCACCTTCATAATCTAGCCTTTGTTTACTATCCTTAGGCAAGAATGTCTCTAATGCATCAAAGGGTATCCATAGATAGTTGAAACAAGTGGCTATTCTTGAAGTTAAAGTAGTTGAGTTTCCCAAATCACAATCTTCATCAACAATAGTCACAATACAAGGGTTTAAATCCTTAACCCTATCAAGAAATATGTCGCGAGACGAAATTGCACCCTTAATTTGTTCATCATCATGCAAGTACCTTAACCAATTTTGGCAATTCACAACCAAAGCTTCATCATCTCTAATTTGAAGAGTTGAAGGATTCAATTGGCTCAAGAACATGTCATAGTTCAAGTCTTCAATCACATGGAATTCAAAAGGAACATCTCTAAATTTCGCGAAATTTGCCAAACGTTGGCCAACTTCTTCACTTGACACATTGAGCAATGGAGGAACTTGTGGTCTCCATGAAGGAACCGATATTCGGAGTGAAGGAGGACCCTCAGGCCTCTTAGCAATTGCATCAATGAGAGTTGGCCATTGCATACAATGAGTGATACTAAAATCTAATATGTGAACTTTTGTTTGCCCTTCAATGGCCTTATAAATAACACTATTTGATGCACAAAATCCAAATCTATGCCATGGGATGAGATCCACATACCCTGCTAGCTCAGTCACACTCATTAATCTCCTTTCAAGATTACTACCTCCATGAAGATTTGTGGCATTAGGACAAACCCTAGAAGCCCTTGAAATTAATGCCCTAAGGAACCATGATGTGAGTCTTTGATTTGGATCTCCATTAGAAGAAGCCAAATTGTTGAGCACCCACATGACTTGTTGAGCCAAAGTAACATCATTGTTCTCTAAGGCACTTGCACAATGAAGTAATAGTTTTTCCAAACATGCTCCATCAAGGTTCCCAATGCATCCTTGTAGTGCTCCTGCTAGAGAACTTTGAGAGTTGTTGAAAAAACTAGGGTTTTGGAGGGGAATGGTTGTGAAGTTCATTGAAACTTGACTCTACTATAATGCTAAACACAATAAAATGGAAGCAAGGACCAACTTGAATCTGAACTACGATTGATCAGATGAAGTCTCACCGAAATAGAATTTCCCTTTTCGTGATGAAGTGATGTATGTTATATGTGAGGGATAAATAAATTTTGTAAGTTTTTTTTATTAATGGAAGTTTGAAGAAAAAGATAGAAGAAAATGAGGATCCATTTGTGTATTCCATCAGACTGGAGATATATCTTATATATATAGATGAAGCAATGATCATATGTTTAAAATAATCCAAGAAAAGAGAGAGGGATTAGTGAAAGAGTACTACTTATATATATATATACGGCTGGAATATATTCGATGTATTTCAATATAGTACCGGAGCAAGTAGAGGAGTATCAAAAAGAAATTTCACGAGCTTGAACAGTGAAAAAAATAATCAGGTTTGAAGGTGAAGAGGCGTGTTAAAAAGAACCAAATAAATAAAAATTTGTTTTATTTAATAATTTAAATATTTAGATAAGATAGTCACACGTCCAATTATACTTTCTTACTCTTTTGTTAGCAAACAAATTTAAAGGTGATTATATGATATTTGTTTCAAATAAATTGTTTGTTTGATTTGAAGATCTCTAGCTATTTGGAACTCTATAAATTCACCCGAAAATATTAGATTAATTAACGTGCATGCATGTAAAATAATTAGGACCTACTCTCTATAAGCTTGAAATCTAATTCAGATTTTTTCCATTTAAGTAATGAACCTGTTTTTCTTTCTTTTTTCTATTAGAAGGGAATTCAAATTTGAATACTCTTTGGTGTGTGGAATAGTATTACTTTAGAAAACTTCATTAAGTAAGTTGATTACCACATTTTACTAACCGCCAAAAGTTGGTGGCTGTTATTATTCATTTATTCTTAATTAAAGATTTTAATTCGACTTTGAAAATAGAATCATTAGAAAAAAAAATTTATCTTTAAAGAAAGACTTTCTGAATGTAAATTAGTCGAGCCTTAAAATGAGTATCCGAAAAAAAAAAAAAAAAAAATTGCACACATCAAATAAATTGTTTGTTTGATTTGAAGATCTCTAGCTATTTGGAACTCTATAAATTCACCCGAAAATATTAGATTAATTAACGTGCATGCATGTAAAATAATTAGGACCTACTCTCTATAAGCTTGAAATCTAATTCAGATTTTTTCCATTTAAGTAATGAACCTGTTTTTCTTTCTTTTTTCTATTAGAAGGGAATTCAAATTTGAATACTCTTTGGTGTGTGGAATAGTATTACTTTAGAAAACTTCATTAAGTAAGTTGATTACCACATTTTACTAACCGCCAAAAGTTGGTGGCTGTTATTATTCATTTATTCTTAATTAAAGATTTTAATTCGACTTTGAAAATAGAATCATTAGAAAAAAAAATTTATCTTTAAAGAAAGACTTTCTGAATGTAAATTAGTCGAGCCTTAAAATGAGTATCCGAAAAAAAAAAAAAAAAACATTGCACACTACTCTATTCATGGAATGATATTATTCCTTCTTAATCTCAATAAAAATTATTGACAAAGTAAGTTGCCGCACTCCATGTTGAGTACCATGCATTTAGCATTGGGGTCTACTATATGCAATTTTATTATATTCTCATAATGATTGTTCCACTTTAGCTTTAACAGACTGAATATAATTTTGAGTAAAATATTGTGGTAACACTTTTAACACATCTAGAACTCACCTTTTTTTTTATATACTGAAAGCGGAATTAAAATTTAAAATTTATGAATTTAAGATTATTTGTTTTTTTTTTAATATTATTGATTTTTAAATAAATAATATGTACACATTAATACATTATTTAAGATAAATATAAAATTTAAACTAAAATATTAAGTTCGATTGAAATCGTATTTTTTTAACATAAGCACTAGCTCCGCCCTTGTTGGTACGTAGTCTTCGAAAGACAAATAATTTTGGCATTATTAGTGATGACTACGTACTTAAGATGGAGAAAAGGTTAAAAAAGCTGCCTTAGCCGGCAATTAGTTTGTCTAATTAAGCTAATGATGGATTACAAATACTATATAATATATCATTTCTCTTTTAATTATTTTTTTTGTTGTGTTAATCCAGTTTTCTGTTTTGAGTTTAGTGATTGATGGTACCATTCATTCCCATCCTTTCACAGACATGATCATCAAATTTGGTTTATAGTGTCAACTAACGCCACAATATATGACAAAATCAACATCTTGTCACATATAAGGCCAAAACAAATTTTCACTTTAAAATGTAACGGTAGAGAATGTTTTCGAAGGAGTTTATTTGTGAGATGGTAACTCGACTAATAGTTATTTTCTTAGAAAGATATTTTTTATAGAAGAAAAAAAATAAAATAAAATGTAGATGTATATACACAGATGTGAATGAAAGATTTATATAGAGTGGGGAAATCTTGTTGCATCTAGCTTCTTGGTGAATAATAGGACAAATTTGTTATTTAGTGCTAGGTATTTATGTCTAGCTAAGTTGATCGTTTCAAATTCAATTATATTCCTAGCTAGCAGAGAGCCAAGGTTTAAACCGAGTAAATTCAAAATATAGAAAAATAAATATGTCAAGAAGCAAAATGAACTCAATATATATCCATAGCTAGGTTGTCATTTCTTTGTGATAGCAACAATCACTTAAAGTAGTTAAAAGAACAAAAAATGTGCTCGGTCCCAAATTTTTGGGGTTGCTTTTTTCAATAAATGTTGGTTACATTTCTTTATGTATTATTTGTACCAGTAACCGGTTTATGGATGAGTGCTCTTGGAGTAGTCGGTCTAACGCTGAACCTACGTGCCTATGACTTCGTTTCTCAAGAAATTCGCGCAAGTCTTTGGCCCATTGAATAGAATCCAACCATATCGAAATGGATGGTACAAAGTCCTCCAATTTTTCATATGTTTAGAGAACTTCCGGGCATTAAAGAGACAAAAAGTTATGTGAAGTTATAACATAGAGATTTGTCTTAATGCTATTTGAACTCCTTAGATAAAGGCATAAAGCAATCTCCCAATGAAATTGAAAATTATCAACATTTCACTTGAGCAATGTTGTGTCCTTTCACCTACTAACTTACAATTAATAGTACATATAGGACTCTTGTGCGCCAGTGGAAGTTAGTAGTGTACAAGTCAGTGATCTATCTGAAAGTTTTTGCATTATTTTCCTTTGAGTGATAGTTCTTTTCATGAAATACGTTTTCGAAGAAAATAACTGGATTTCTTACTTATTATTCTTGTTTGTACATAATTAAATAAATGTTATTTTAAAAATCTTTATATTTATACTATGTCACATGGAGTGGGGTAGGAGTGTAGGGTAGTGTAGGTGAGGGTTATACGGAGGTGAAGGTGAAGATGAGGTGTATTGGAGGTTGGAAAGGACATATTCCCTCCGTCCCTTTTTATTTGTTAAATTTTGACTTGACACACCTATTAAGAAAACAATGACGGATATAGTAAGTTAATCATCTTACCTCTATTAATTGATAGAGTCTCAAATATATTTACTCAGTATTTTTCAAAGACATTAACTCAATATTAATAGTTTAAGGATATAATAGGGAAAAAATGTTCTTCCTTGATTTCTCAAAAACTGTCAAGTAAAAAACTAAATCAAATTAGAAAATATTCTACAAGTAAATAGGAACGGAGTAATTAAATAGGTGCGCGCTATGCTACTTGTGAACTTATTTTCCCTATTTTCATTTTTTTAAAATCATTTTGAAATTAGTAAATTATATGAGTGTAGGAAAGTCATAATATATTTGTCTTGTTTTTTTTTTGTATTTTTATGTAATTGGAAATTTGGAATCATTAGCGCATTGTTCGGAGATTTGATAGAACACTGATAGAAGTTGTGCACCGTATGCAACAACTTGATCGATCTTTTTTTAAGTGATGATTCATGCATTTTTCACTTATTCTTAATCCCACAAAAAGACAAGCATTGTACTTATTACCTTATACCACCAAAGAATGTGGTGTACGTATACGGTCTATAAGGATGAGATGCTTCTGGTTTAATCAAAGATCAAATTTAAATTAGTCAAATTCTACTACGAATATAGAATGGTTATCATCTCATTATCTATTTTTGTTGACAAAGGAATTGAAGAAATTAATATTGCTAACAAGATGATGTTGTTGAAGAGGATCTAACACATACTGGATTAATTATTGGGACCACATTATTAATCCAAATAGTTTTTAGTATATCATTGTCTTTTTTGACTTTAATTCTTCCTCATTTTATAGATTGAAATATTTTTAAAGTATTGTTCCATGTTCCAGAGGTCTTCGAGCCTTGACATTTTTATCAACTTTATATATTTCGGATGCGGTGTCTAAAGTTATATATATATATATATATATACATATATATATATATATATATATGAGTAAAGTTCATGCAAAAATAATTGGACTTTAGTCATCTTTGCTTGAACTCTAGCCATGTGCATGAATTTCGATCATAAATAACTGAAGTAAGGCAAAATTGACTGAACTTTAGTCATATGTTGTTGGAGTTTGAGCAAAAATAACTTAAGTCAATTACAACTAATTAACCTTAGCTTCAGCCAAATCTGACTGAAATTCATACAAAAATGACTAAATTTCAACCAAATGAGTCCGAAATAAGACAAAAAAGATTGACTGAAATTTCAGTCATCTATTACTAAAATTCAAATAAAAATATAGCTAAAGTGAAGCAAAAATGACAAAACTTCAGCCATAAGATAAAAATAATTAAACTTCAACAATATGAAACTTCAAATATTATGTCTAACGTTAAACTTGATCAAACTAATTTCAAAACACCGTATATCTGAAGTTGTTAGAATAACAAAAACGGCCACAAGTTAAATAGAGGTGTCAAAAGACAGATTTGCACTTCTCCAGTCAAGCCCAAATTAAAGTATGTTGGATACTGGATCCAAGGCCTGTTTGGACAATGAGGTTGGTGTTATTGAGGCCCATTAAAACTGGTCTCCAACCCAATCAGGAAAACAGGAACTTTTGGGCTCTCATCTCAAGTTTTTGTTTGCTTGATATTGATGTCGTATATTGTTCACGTTCTAGATGTCTAATCTAAATGTATAACACGGAAAATAGAATCGGGGAATCTTGGCATGCTCGGAACGCTCCATATCTCTTGTGCGCATGGTTGTTTGATTTTCTTATATGATCTTGGACAGCCTTCACATCATGAATAATTTTTGTATTTGAGTTAAGCCCATTGTCCATTTTTTTAT